CCCATGACCTAATTGGCGCTGACATCCTTTAACCTGGAGAGACTATATAGAATCGGCTCCAATCCCATGACCAAACCGGCGCCATTCAGATCGGATTTTGCAATACAAACGAACGTGTTGCAATATCTTTTAATGGGTGTAAAGATATATGGATAATGGACATATGGTCGGGAATAGACTAAAGATGTTAACTTTAGCCTTTTTAAACTCTCATTCACATCCCTTAAACATCATTCTTTCCCTAGTTTAATTCATACTTCATATTTTTGTTCTTTCTTGTTTCATGGCACCACTAAATTTAAGATATTTGTTACAATTGTTTTAAACAATTTGTTGCGATTTTGAACCGCAATAATCGGGAGTGTTAACTTATTTGATGCGGTCTGCAACAAATAAATTTTCAAAAAAATTCTGAAATACTTTATTGTTGCAGTTCCCAAGCGTAGAAAATGACATTTACAAAAATTAGATTCATAATTGCCAAGTTTAGGACCACAACAAATAACATTTTTAAAAAATACATTACTATTAAAAAAAATACATTACTATTCTATTTATTTATACTACCCAAATGTACAAAAGTGCATACTTTACATCAAAACAACTCATGTTTACAACATAACCACACAATGTAATAAAAACAAACCAAATTACATTCCTTGTTTCCAAAGAACAAGTCATACACCATGAAAATTCGTGCACAATCCTTCTATATACAAAGCAAATAGAAAAACTAAGCATTTTCCCGCAATAAAATCGGTCTAACGTGTGGATCGTGTATGCGGAGTCTCATCTATAGAGCCTTTCTTATATCCTTAGTGTAATGTGAACCATGTTTATTCAATGTTGTTTTGATTGTTGTCAATTTTCAGTTTTCAAATAATTATCTTATTTGCATTTTATTTATCACCACCATGTATTATAACCACGTAATGCATGGTTGTAATACAACCCATAAAATAGAGAAAAGAGACAAATAAGTCCACATATTATTTGTGATTCTGCAATCAGGCCCATGAACCGGAAGATTTGCAAATACACCTCTCAATTCATTGAAAATTAAGCAATCAAACATTTTTAACATGTTGGTGACGATAATTCATCATCTCCTTATCTGCACAAATTGAGGTGGCGGGACGGCAGTCATGTCCGGAAATTCCGGACAAGAAGGTTTGTGTGTATGTGTGTGTTCATATTAGTTGTTAATGAGAGTACAAATGGGGATACAACATTAGGAAGAGTAGCAAAAAAGGAAAGGCCAGAACTTCATGCGGTTTCTTTGCAACTATTATGTTACGGAGTATTTGAACTATTCCGTAGCTAATCCCCTATAGGAAAAAAAATTGTAGCTCATACAAAATCAACAAAATTCTCTCCTAACCTCATTTTTATGTTTACTATTCAATGTGGAGATAATATATTTCAGTGGTTCAGATGGGTGTGGTTACTAAATATGTTCATTTGGGTTGGCCAAAAACTTAAATCCATCCTACCTTTGAGACATAACTCGAGCATCTCACCCATTACAAAATCAAAAAATAAAAAGCAACTTACATCCTCCCATCTAATTGTTCGCTCGATGTTGGGGACCATCAAGGATGGAGTGTCATCCTTTTTTTAAATAAAAGCAACAACTACTTGGTCTTTACGCAATCAAGTGAAATCATACAATTTTGGCAATGGAGCTTCAAGTTAGTAGTGTTTACAATGATTATCATAAATTTCATGTATATTTCTTGATGAAAATGAAAAAACAACATTAAATTTACATCACTTATAGTAAGCTTAAGTAATATGTCAATTCTGATATATTCACATTGTATTCAGCAAACCCTAAAACTTTATCACAAAACCAAATGCTTAATTATTTTGCAATGTATAAAGAAGTTCTTTATATCATATCCTTATAAAAAATACTTACCAGGAAAATAGGTCATTCAAAATATCAAAAACGCATTCAAGTTACACTTTCCAACTAACAAAATAAAAGAGATTTGCAACACTTCAAATTACTCAGTTACGGGACTTATGGTTATTGACGTGGAAGCCTTTAATCAAGAGGTTCAATTAAAAATGAAACATAATGTTTTAATAAAACGGTTTTAATTAATTGAGCATCGTTTGTTTTTTTGACAACTTAATTGAGCATCGTTAAAAACGACCAGTTGAGTAAGGATTTCCCAAATGTGATGCATTTGATTTAACCGTGTCTACAAAAATCCTGATATACTTGGTGTAAGCTCTGAAAATAATCTCTTTTAGTGACATAGAATTTGATCAAGAATCAACTAAAATTGATTATATTTCTCATTGTTATATAAAATAATAGGTTAGTAAATTATTAATAATTTTAAGATTGATTAATAAAACGGTTTTAATTAATTGAGCATCGTTAAAAATGACCTGCCGGTTGAGTAAAGATTTCTCAAATGTACTAAAAATGAGTTAAAAGTCTACGAGAATTCATGATTTTAGAAATCCATAAGAATGAACGGAATTTTGAATATGCCTAGACTTTTGTAGACTTTTAAAAGTCTACATTGAATATACCTAAACTTTTAAAATACATGGACTTTGAAAATTTTGCCACTAAATCCTAATACAATACACCCCCCTAATTCTCTTCAATTGTCTCTTCTCCTCACTAAAGATTTCCGTGAACTTTTCTTTTATTGGTCTTCATCCCACCCCACCTCATCCCCCCCCCCCCCCCAACTCTCCTCTTCTTTAGCCAAGCCACCCCTTCCCCTTCGACCTTTCTTCTTCGGCTTCAGCCCAGCTTGTCCCACCTCTCTCCTTCCGTTCTTTTTCTTCTTCAGTTTGCCCCACCCCACCCCCCTCGATTCCCCCTCGATTCGTTAATCCCATATTGGTTCGATTCTAGAAGTTTCTAGAAGAACTGGTATAAGAATCGATAGTATTACATCAGTGCAATTCTGGTACGTTGTCACTTAATCATTAAGAAAATAAATATTTAACTATTACTTTCTTTCATCGTTAAATCGCTAACACATAAAAATATAATTTCAAATTAATAAATATATAACCGTAAATAAGTACACAAAATTTTACAAGATAGAAATGAAAAGAAAACAATTATTAAGAAGAAAAACTCGATTGCAACTATGCTTGTACAACATGTAGCAATGAGTGTAACGCTTGTGTAACGATTAATGTTCTTACTCATTAATAAATTGACGAAAATTCTTGAGCATTCTTGAAACTTTGAGTTTTTTAATAAAAATAAATTTCGATTCTTATGCTTCATTTATTCTTGTAGAATTTTGTGTTGCTATATGAATTACATTTGTTTCATTTATTTGTTTATTTATTTGTTTGTTTGTTTCTTTGTTTGTTTCTTATCATACTCCGTATTATACAAGGGAAATTACTCAGGGTAGGACAAAAACATAGCATTCTTCTTAAAGTATGATCATATGTTTGATTTTCCTTAAATAGGACTAAATATTACATATTCATCCCTAACTTAATTAATTAATTAATATAATTAATTGTCCCCAGTTCCCTTGCATAACCAAATCGATTTTGTTGGTGGCGGATTAGTCCGATGACGACAGCGGGGAACTCCGGTGACGGAGGCGAATAAGCAGATCGGTAGCGGCGATCCAGGTGAAAATTTCGACGACCAGCAGTGGTGGTCTGCATTTAAAAGTCTATGGACTTTTGAAAGTCAATAAACTTATTCATGGATTTAAAAGTCCATAGAATTCATTCATAAAAAAATATATGGATTTAAAAGTCCATTGACTTTTTTAAAAGTTCACGGATTAAAAAAAGTCCACCACATTAATTTCATATCTACAAAAAATCCTCATGGATATATACTTGGTGTAAGCTCTAAATATAATCACTTTTAGTGACTTAGAATTTGATCAAGAATCAACTTAAATTAATTATATTTCTCATTGTTATATATAATAATAGTTTAGTAAATTGTTAATAATGAATCTCAAAGGATGTAACGCTTAAAAGAAATGAGCACACAAATGAATATTTGAGCACATTAGAGATTTGAAATTAGTTTTGAATTTTTTGATGCTCATTTTGTAAATTATGTATACTTATTCGGTACTGGTGTTATGCTCATTTTAAAATGACATATCAAGCCGAGGAAACTCACTCGACCAGATTGGAGCATGCTTACATAACTATAATACTCAATAGTAGAAAACATGATATTCAATGAATATGTTTTGAATCTCTAATGAGCTTTCGAAATTTTTATATTCAATTGCAGAGTTTCAATGCTTAATACACATAGCCTCAATTTTTGTTTTACCACGGGGCCAAGGGGAGAGGGGCTGAGGGAGTTTGGGGTAAACATAGTTGTAACTCCCTCCATTGAGTTCGAAGTCGAGACCTCTCGTACGGAAGAGTGAGTCGACGATCAGCTGAGCTGAACCGCTTCCTCACACATAGCCACGATACTAAATAGTCGAGAACAAAATATTCAACAGAGTTCCACGCCAAAATGTTTTGATGCCTAAATGAAGTTTGAAGTTTTATATACTCAATTTGAGAGTTTCAATGCTCAATACACATAATATTGATGCTTAATGAAAATGTGTTTATGCTCAACTAGTAAAGTTTATAATTTTTGTATCAATACATGCTAAAAGTATAATATTAAATTCTATTCGCATAGTAGAATTTATAGGAGTTGATTATTATTTTACTCCGGGGGGCCTGGGGGGAGGGGAGCTGGAGGGCCTGGAATAATCAGGCCGAAACTCACTTCAAGTTTCAAATCACTTATGTGTCTAGCGGGTTTCGAACTCGAGACCTCCCACTAGCCACGGTAATCTCACGATCAGCTGAGTTGGAATGCTTGGTTATAGGAGTTGATTATATATATAATTTAAGAAGAGAAAAAAATAAGAAAAAGAAAAATAAATTAGAAGATAGAAACACAATATTAGACCAAAATGCTCAACAGAATGCTCAATTAACAAAAACTCCCCTTTTTACCTGAATTACAGGATTGTGACCGACCCTACAACTGTACAACTGATGTAGTATATGGACTCGTGAATATAAAGATGGTATTGGATTGTGAATATATCTTGAGTAACAGTTTGATTTAGAGGGAAGGTTGCCGTTAACCTTATTGTGGATAATGGACAGGAAATTTGGCATTGATGTTAATGGCGAATTGCGGGTTAACTCCCAACATGATATTGTATCTGATGAGGGAGTATCGAATGGATATGGCTACTGGCTCGAATGTGCTCTATTGGTGGAATGCAGCTTCGAATATCACTCCCGTCGTTGGAGCTTTAATGGCAGATTCTTTTGTGGGTCGGTTTCAGATTATTAGCATCGGATCTATTATTGACCTTTTGGTAAGCCCTTCACCTCTTGTAACGCTCTTACACATTGTTGCTAGTTTCATTAATGCCTCACAAGAACCTTAAATTTCTAGTGTTCATTTATAGCTTGTTGAAATACTTTTTAATCTTCTCTAGGATAACTTTGGCCTCTCTCTCAATTCACTACCTCATTTTACACACACAAGAGATATATGAAACATGGAATACTAATTACTCTATCTATCCCTTGTAATTTTGTCACTTCCTTTTTTTGTTTGTTTTTTATACTTTCCTTAACTAATTTGTGATTCATATTATTTCTCTGTCTTGTATACAAACATCAATCAAAGAGTCTTTACTTTATTATTATACACGTCGATCAAACTTTACAAAGTTACAAGAGACGAAAGGAGTATTTATTTTTGAACATTGGACCACCCCTCAGAAGTAGAGACAGGGGTAGGCTGACGGGGGCCTCGGCCCCTGCAAGAAAAATATTTGTAAATTATAAGTAGTAAAAAATATAGTGAAAATTTAAAATTTGGCCCCCGCTATATAAATTTCTTAAGCCCCGGCCATCCTAACTTGCTATTCCTGGCTCCGCCACTGTCACAGTGTCACCCTGTTAGCTAGTTAGTACTTGGTCATTGAAGGAAACTCATATTAGAACTCGTTGTTCTCCATCTACACAGATGGTGCACTTGCTCTATTAACTACTCCGTATTAAGCTTGGCATTAATTCTTCATTTTCATGTATGCCCTTGCTTAATTCAGTTTGGTATAATGGCATTACTCTCTACATTTGTTAGTCTTACACCAGACAAGTAAAATAAAATGTTGAATTGATTAGACTATTGATTGAACTAGCTAACAGATAGGACTCCATCGTTTCGGGTGGTTTGACCCAATATTTGTGTATGCATTTCTACATGGCTCAATTGGGCTACATTGTATAAAAAGTCTAATCACATGTTGCATTTTTTAAGAACAGAGGAAGTAATATTTAAGTATCTAATAATATTTTTTTCTTTACTAATTATTATATCACCCCCTCTCTTTAACTCACTATCTTTGTATCATATGTTTCTTCATTTATCATACTAAATTTGTCTCGTATTATACTAGTTCATTTTTACTTAATTTATTATACTAGTTCTTACATTAACTCATATTACTTGTATATGCCTACAATAAGTGCACACATAAGACATACATTCTTTTTTAAGCTTTCACAAACTATTTTCTTAGGTTTTCAAATTCCATCGGGGAAACATGCACAAATGGTTTAACTAAAATTGAAGCGTTTTGGTGCCTTATTTCTTTAATGAATGAAATCTGTACAATTACTACTTTTAAATGTTTATCCGGTGGTGTCACTCAAAATTCCTGAAAAAAAAATCATTCATGTCTCTTTGGCAACAGTGTTTCTCTTTCTTGTAAATCACAGTCTTTCCTAATTGCCCAGTAGTTTTTTATTCAACATCATTGTTGTACACGTAATCAGAGGCGGGAGACGTCCGAAAGTAAAATTAAAAAAATTATACACGAAGGAATTACAAGGCTGCATATGTGGAATTCCAGAGTAGACACGTAAGTGTTTTGGCTATATATTTGAATGGTATAAACGGGTAAAACTTTTTCTAAAACTATCCTTTGCTGTTATTTCTTAATCTATGTAAAAATTACTTTAAAACGTCTTCGTAAGAGACGGAGGTAGTGATTGTGATTTTTATTTCTTCAGTGAAAAGTGTATGGAGAAGAAGTGATATTTTTTCAATTGAAATTCATGTTGTTTTTGGCAGGGAATACTTCTGTTTTGGCTAACAACTATTATACCACAAACAAGGCCGCCTCCCTGCACTGAATCTAACATCATTTGCCCTTCTGCAACAACTCTGCAGCTTCTTCTTTTATACCTCTCCTTTATCCTTATATCCATTGGTGAAGGGGGAGTAAAAGCTTCTTCCTTGGCGTTTGGAGTTGAACAGTTAAATAATATCCGGAAAAATGAGAAAGCAATGGAGAGCTTCTTTGGCTGTTATTATGGTGTTAAAATGGTATCTGTTATCATTTCCTTGACTTGTTTGGTCTATGTCCAAGAGAACATGGGATGGGAAATTGGTTTTGGAATCCTTGTCTTGCTTATGCTATTTGCTACTATTTTCATCCTCTTGGGGTCCACATTCTATGTCAGGTCGAAGCCCAAAGGAAGCTTAATCACGGGTTTAGTTCAAGTGATTGTAGCTTTCTATAGAAAGAGGAACCTCGTGATACCATCCGATAATGGAGATCTTGTGGCATACCATCAACAAGGTACCATGATATGCCCCCCAAGTGAAACACTAAGGTAATTAATTAAAGCCATTTGTTACCGTTAAGCGAGCATCTGATCTTCTTCCATTTATTTAGCTTGTTAGAACCTGTTTGAGCAGAGGTGGATCCAGCTTAATTGATTGAATGAGCTTAGTATGTTGATATTATGACTTAAGTGGTATGCTTTTTGGACTGAATTTTCTAATAAAGACTGAACTGCCCCGGTTTGTTTAGTCTTAGTATGCTTTTTAAGTTCCAGCTTAATATTGATTAATTTGAGTTGGCCTTGTGGGTCCCATTAAACAAAACTGTATGCCCTCTCCTGCTGATTTTAGTCCCTCCACATCTAAAAACACATTGATAGACTAATTGTGTCAGGTTTCTGAATAAGGCTTGCATAATAGAAGATCCCCAACAAGACGTAAATCCAGATGGGAAAGCCTCAGATCCATGGAGTCTTTGTACAGTAGAGCAAGTAGAGGAGCTTAAAGCATGCATTAAGGTAATCCCAATATGGGCCACCGGAGTTATAATGAGCATTAATGCCAGCCAAAGCACTTTCTCCACGCTTCAAGCGACCACCATGAACCGCCACATAGGATCATCATCTATGAGCTTTCAAATCCCCACTGGCTCTATAAGTATGTTCTCATATGCCACCATCATAATGTGGCTCGTGTTAGATGATCGAATCATTAGACGATGTCTCCATTTCAGTCCGATGGTGAGAATGGGGTCGGGGATCTTCGTCTCTTTCCTTTCTGTCGTGGCAACAGCCTTGGTGGAGGCTTACCGGCGGAGCCTCGCAATAAAGGAGGGATTCTCTGAAAACCCCGGGGGCATTGTGGATATGTCTATTCTGTGGATCATACCACACTCGCTTCTCGCGGGGGTTGCTGAAGGAATGAATGCGGTTGCTCAGAATGCATTTTACATTTCAGAGTTCCCGCAAAGCATGTGGAGCATAGCTTCCAACTTTTTCGGGCTAGGGATAGCGGTGGCGAATATGCTAGCAAGCTTTTTGATGAGCTTTGTTAATGAGGTCACTAAAGGTGGGGGAGATGGGAGCTGGATATCAAGCAACATAAACAAGGGTCACTATGACTACTATAATTGGGTACTTGCTGGATTGAGTCTGGTAAATCTTTTACTATTCTTCTTCTTTAGCCGTGCTTATGGCCCCTGCTGTGAAGAGAGGAAAGTAAAGGGTGGCATTGAAGTAGAGTCTTCATGAACTCCCTTCTAGCTACGATCCTCGTATTATCATTTACCACAATATAGCATCTCCTTTTTGTAGTTGTATTACTGCATTTTGGTGCCCTGGTATATAGAATGAAAGAAGTTAATTAGTACTCTGAATAAGTTTCAATGTCTTTGACTCCTACCAGTCCATTTTATCGTAAATTCTGGTATGAATCATTTGATTTTTCAGTATAGATCTTAGGTATGTTCTCTAAAATATTAGCATTAATCAATTCACACGATCAAAGTTATCAGACTTAAATTTGTCTGGTTTGTACGTTTAGCATGAAACAGGATATGTAATTGGTTGTGTCACTGCAATTGATCAGAATAACACACTATTTGGTAGTGATGGACATTTTTGTTTACGATTTCGATACGGATTCAGTTCAATGCAGGTGACAAAGTCCTCGAGTACCTCAAGTTGAGGACTTGAGGGTTGGTTCTTGCTGGAGCCTGCCTGCCTGCCTTTTCCCTTGGGTTTCTGTTAGGTTGAGCATGGATGGACCCTGCAGGCTGATCCTTGCCAATCATCTGGTGGACAAACTCTCCTCTGATGCATGAGTGCGATTCATTTTGGTTCTTTTTAATTTACTCGAGAAGGGGTAATTAGCATAAGCATAAATTCTACAAGAACTATTATAATTTCTACGTATCTTGTTTTGGTTCTTTTTCATCTATGCAGATTCAGATTTGCAGTGGTTAAAGAATAAAGACCGATAGATTACTGAAAAATTCTGATATAATATGCTTCATTGCATAGGCAGTCTTAACCCCAAGAATAATACTACCTTCCGCATAATGTAAAATACCTGAATTTGGTTCAAGTTTTAAGAAAATAAAGAATAAAATTGTTATTTTTCAATTTAATTAACATCCAAAACGTACAAAAAATACGTAGTAATAAGATGGATCTACAAAAAGTAAAAACTAAAGAGTTAAATAAAGTGATAAAATGAGAAAGTAAAATGTTAGTGGAATTATGTTTAGTAAAAAGTTTTTGGGTCATAAGTAGTTGTCATTAACAATGTTCAATCGTAATTTATACTGGAATAACAACATTTCATAAAAACTCTGAAGTTTAACATATCTTGAAGCTTGTGTCACTCAATCAAAATATGTTGATATTCCAATCAACTAGGGTTGGATTCGGTTCGGGCCACCCGGCCCGTGACCCGGCCCGGCCCGGTACTGTGCGGGCCCGGGACCGGCCCGGTCGGGCGGTCCGGGACCGGGTATGGGCCCGAACCAGGGGGAAGGGGCGGGGCGGGCTCGGTTCAGCATTTTTGTGACCCGGCCCGGCCGGGTCGGGCCCGGGCCCGGGTCCGGGTCTATTTTTAAAAAAAAAAACTTTTTTTTTGTTTTTTGGCTACTAGCCGTTGAGGCTTGGGGGTGGGGCTGGGGACAACCCAAACGGCTATATAGCCGTTGGGTGGGGTAAAGGGGGGGTCCGGGGGGTTGGCTAGTAGGGGGGGGTGGGGGGTGGGGGGTAAAAAAACCTATAAATACTCCTACTCTTAAACATTTTTTCATCTCTTCTCCAATTCTTCCTAAATCCTATTCTTATCTCTCTACTCTCTAATTCTCTTATTCTCCAATATATTATATATCTACTCTCTAATTATCTTCTCCAAGAAGTTAAGATGGAAAATCAAGATGCCATTATACGGTATAATTTTGATAAGCAGAAGGACCCGAAGACCGGGATGTGGTACGCAATTTGCAAATGGTGCGAAAAAAAATGTATCATGGGGGCTTCAGGCGGATTCGGGATGGCAATCAAGCATATGAAGTCATGTGACAAAGCCAAAGGATCGGGAGGTGCGGGAAGTTCCGATTGATTACAATTTTCAAAATGTTTATCTCTTAAAGTTTGTTTTAATTTTCAAATGTAGTTCCTATTTCATTTCAAATAAATGCAATTGAAGTTTGTTTTTAATACTCGTATAAAACTATAAACTATAAAATATAAATTATAAAAAAAAATTAACCGACCCGGCCCGAACCGGACCCGACCCGTGACCCGGGCGGGTGGCCCGGCCCGAACCGGACCCGTCCAACCCTCGGGCCGGTCCCGGGCCCACTTTTCTTGAACCGGCGGCCCGACCAGGCCTAGGCCCGGCCCGGACCCGACCCGGCCCGAATCCATCCCTACAATCAACTATTCATTGTTATGATATATCATTGATTGACATTGGTCTTTGAACTAAATAATTAAAGAAAATGGAAATTAATAATCCAACCTTCTAGTTCTAGCGATCTTCATTCGTTGGTCCCACTTTATCGTTATTCATGAATAATCCAACCTGTGCACCTCATCTTCATTCGTTGGTCCCTGACCGGTTGATGACCTGCTATTCCAGGTTTTCTCATTTTCTTTGCAAATCATTCAACCATAAATCTCACCTTTCATAAATCTTCATCAAGCGGTCCCACGTGTCATTTTTCTTTTTTCTTCCTAAAACTTTTCATTTTTTATTTTTATCGTCTTGACTCTTTTATTCCCCCCTTTTGTCTTCTTATTTTTATATTTATTACTTTTCAATTTTTTATTTATTTTTTTCAATGTTTATGTATTCCATTTTCCCTTCTTTTCCTTCTTTTTCTTCTTCCCGTTTATTATTTCATTTTCATTTATACATATTTTTTCGGGAAAAAAATCCACTTTTGGTCCCATGACTATTATACCACTTACGCATTTAGTCCATTACTTTCAGATTGTCCACATTTAGTCTATGACCATTATCTTCTCACCACCCCTCGTCCTTCTGACCAAAATTCCGGCAAATTTAGTCACTTACCAGCTTCAGAATCAGTCTTTGTATTAAATTTTATATAATGTTGGCTTTTTCATATCAGTCTTTGCATTAAATTTGGTTTTTTATACCTAAAATCTGCATTAAATTTGTCGGAATTTTGGCCGGAAGGACAAGGGGTGGTCAGGGGATAATTGTCACGGACTAAATGTGGACAATCTGAAAGTAAGAGACTAAATGTGGAAGTGGTATAATAGTCACGGGACCAAAAGTGGAATTTTTTCATTTTTTCGGATTACTTCCTTATAAAAGATCTCTTTCTCACCGTACTAACTTTTTACTTTATTTTCTTTTTACTTACACTTATTTATTTCCTTTTTCCTTTTCTTACCTTTATTCTACCACTAATATATATTTGAGAAAATAGCCCCAAAATAGGACTAAATTAATCCCCAAATGCACAAATAAGACTATGTTATTTATCTTTACTAAAGCACCGTCTATCTTCTTATTCTACATTTCTACCCTTACTAGGATAATCATATTTTACATTATAATAAAATACCGTTTATCTTCTTATTTTACATTTCTACCGTTACCATACCTTCCTTTTTATTTTGTTACTATATTTTTATAAATTGAAATACCTTTTTTTATTTTTCCTTTTTCATTATAATGTAAAATACTCCCCCGGTCCGTATTAAAGTTCTCACTTTCCTTTTTGGGATGTCCCTTATTTAAGTTCACACTTCCATTGTAGGAAACAAAACAGTGCAAAACAGTGTCAAACAGTGTCCAAACAGTGCCAAACAGTGCACTCCACAGTAAAGTCAAATTTATTTTCTTAATCTGTGTGAAGTCAAACTGGGAACTTTAATAGGGACTGGAGGGAGTATGATTATCCTATTAAGTTATGGTAAGGGTAGAAATGTAGAATAAGAAGATAGACGATATTTTATTCCTATTTTGGGAAGATAAATAACATAGTCATATTTGTGCATTTAGGAATTAGTTTAGTCCTATTTTGGGGCTTTTTCATAAAAATATATTAGTGATAGTGTTGGGAATATTTTATGGTGTTCAATCTAGTTAGTTATCTTTGTATTTGTGTAGTTATTAATTAAACGTGTAATACGGGCCACAAATGTGTATCAGCCCGTGGGCTTCCTTGTAACCCGTAAGTTAGCCAACTTCTCCTATAAAAGGAGGCTAACTTACGGGAACCAAAACGATCGTGAGAGGCTTAGAGACGCAGAGGCCAGATAGAGAGAAATTAGGGTTGCCGCTGCTCTCCTTCTCCAGGGAGAGTAGCGGCAGGTTCATACGGTATACCAGATTCACGTTCAATCTTGTCGATTTCTTTCTATCTCCTTCTTTATCACTGTTATGGTTGTATGATTGTTAGAATTTTGGGACTAACATTTGGTATCAGAGCCGAGGCGTGAAACGGGTTGGATCTGTCTGCGATTTTTGGATTTAACGAAGAACTGCTCTGTTTTTTCTTCAGTTTTTCTATATGTAGAGATTTGCTCCTGTAATATCGTTTGTGAACGAAATTTTGTAAAAATCATACTGTTGGACTCGCCTTTCAAAACCGATCCAGCAGCATACCTCTTTTTTCGTTTTCTGCAATTTTTATATTTCGAAGATCTCTACATTGAGATCTCGAAATCCTTATTTTTCACTGCTGCAGAAACATTTTTGGCTTGAAACTGATACAGGAGAATCTCGACTTTCAGGGCTATTCAGAACAGGTTTCAGATTTTCAAAAATTAATGTTTTCGTTTTGCAGGATCTCGACATTTAGGGACTCGATTTCCTCTTCTCGACATCTTGATCTCGAGATTTGCATCTCGACATCTTGATCTCGAAATCAAGATCTCGAGATTTGAATCTCGAAATCAAGATCTCGAGATATGAATCTCGAAATCATGATCTCGAGATTTGAATCTCGAAATCAAGATCTCGAGATTTGTAATCTCGAGTTTTGGAATTTCGAGTTTAGGAATTTCGAGTTTTGGGATTTCGACATTTGGGATCTCGATGTTTTGGATCTCGACATTCTGAAGATTTCGAGATTTTCAAAATTTCTCGATGTTTTATATCTTTCAAAGTTTGCAGTTTCTTGGAACTCATAATTCGAATCTTGACATCCTTTGCAGTTCATCGAAACTTTACATTATAAGGATCTCTGAATGATTCCCTGCTTATATAAATGTTTCAGGAGCTTTCGATGTTCTGATGTTTTTCAAACAGCAAGTTTTCGAGATTATGAGGTTTTCGAAACTCCAAAGTTTTCGATGTTCAAACATTTTGAAATTCTGCAGATTTCGATATTCTGAGATTTGTTTTGTAGGTGGATTTCGCCATTATTCTTCGAGGCAACCTCGAGTTTTGGATTTCGAAGTATTGCCTTAGAATTTTGTTTAAAAATCCACCTGCTCTCGATATTCAACATCGAGAACCTCATCTTCGAAGAAATTCCTCAAAAACTCAAAATTAGAGATTGTTTTGCGACACCGCACTGTTTTGGCCATAACTTTTGACTCGGTGATCCGATTTGAGCAAACTTTTTTTTGTTGGAAAGCTAACGAGAAGATCTACATTATATCTCGGGCTTTGCCCCAGAAACCTTTCTCACGCGCCCTCACTCGCAGCCCTTGAGGGTCAAAACGTTAGTTTTCCGACAAACATTGTAAATCACCGATGTCCATGTCAAAACTTTGGCAAATCTGTTCAAATTCTTTCATTGTCAACCCTGAGGTCAAAGATTTTCTAAACTTCAATTTAAAGGTTTGAAAATCGTAGATAATTCAATCAACCTCACGTCAACGATCATCTTACAACAATCAACAATCAACTGCTGAAGCCTCCCCTGACTCATCAACATTATGTGATCATCAATATGCTGAAATTCTACATGGTGAGCTCAGGGAAACTGTCATGTGTGGTACATGTTCAGATTGCTCCACACACATGGCGGGTATGACAAGCTGTGAGCAATCAATCCTTGCACATTCTGAGGGGGAGTTTCAGTTAATTCCTCCTGGCGCCTTACACCGACAAAGCAAGGAATTTCTCAAAGGATGCAACATTTTAGGGGGAGTATTCAATGTTATCCTTCCCGGTGCCTAATAATGACAAAGCATACCGAGTGCTCCAGTTGAGGGGGAGCACAGAGAGAAAATGAAGAAAGTAATGAGAGAACATGTTCCTATGGCTTAGTAAACCCAACTAAGCCTACCCAAGGGACAAAGCCGAGCGTAAGTGCGTGAGTGAGCGAGTAAGTGAGTGAACATTATGAGCATTAGGAAGCAGAAGGCTCAAGTCAGAAGAAAAACAATTATCAATGATTAGTCTGCTACCTCAATTGCCTGCTATGAATTGAACATTTGCTCCTAGCCACTAAAATACTCTGGACTATCCCCATAGGTTCAGGACAGAATTTATTCAGATCCCGGGTAGAAGTCGCTGCATTTTGTCCAAACGGCGCATGCACAACCCTACCCTAGACCACTCACTTGTCTCCCAACAGACAGGTGTTTAATCAAAGTTCACGGGGAACCGCATCTCTCATTACTGTCTCCTTCTGAGGCAAGTAAT